AACCAGTGCATAAGGGAAGAGAAATCTCAGTGCACCGGCAGATAACAGTATTAATGTGACTGATAATCATGTGCTAAGAATAACCCACTCTCTGAGGCAGGAGTGATAGCACAGCGGGTAGGGCGTATGCCTTGCACACGGCCAACCTGGGTTCTATCCCCGGCATCCCATATGGTCCCCTGAGCACTGCCAGGAGTAATTCCTGAGTGCAAATTCAGGAGTAACCCCTGAGCATTCTTGGGTGTGACCCAAAAAGGAAAAAAAAATAACCCACTCTCCTTTCCTCTCTTCTTCCTTCTCTTTCTCTCTCCCCTCTCTTCTTTCCCTCCACTCTCTTTCTCTCCTCTTCCTCTCCTTTTCCTCTCTCCTACCTCAGCCAAACACCCCTTAATCTTATGCTCAATGTATGAGCACCTTAATTTACGTTTTTAATTTATCTCTGAAACTATCTCCATTTGCTATGACATTCATCTCACAAGTATTTCAAATGCATGTGGTGGATTAGTATGTGTCTGATTATATAGGGATGAGAAATATAAAGTAGGGCCAGAGAGATAGTACGGCAGGTAGGGTACTTGCCTTGCACGCAACTGACTTGAGTTCAGTTGTCAAAAATAATCCTTGGGTCCAGAGCTAGAGTAAGCCAAGTAAGCCCTTCTCCCCAAAAATGAAAATATATAGAGTATAGAAAATTTAAAATATAAGATAAATGATAAGTCATTCAATTCATATTATTAATTAAAGCATAGATTTATCACAACCCAAAGGACAGTGATGAACAATTTATGTTTGTGAGAATATAAACTGTTTCAGAGAATGTTGAGTAAACAAACTGCCAGGACCAGTAGCTCTGAGCAGCCACTTAAGCTTAAGGTGGATTCATAAGTCCCACATGAACTAAGATGTAAGTCCCACTGCTGTAATAGCCCTGAAGAGATATAGCTCTCTATCATATTAAGTAGTTTTCTGGCTAGTTGCTAGGCAGCTAGGAGTTCCAGGAGTCATTCCTGTTGACCACTCCACAATTCTTCCGTCCATGTACTTCATATTAAAAGCGCACCCTCTGTTTCATGAGATATGTCTTCTGGACTGTGGATGCTGGGGAGGGAAGTTCCATGAAAAACATTTTAGGTGGGACTCATCAAATCTTGGGATATTGATCATCAGCACTTCTACTGGCCTGTTATTAGAGAAAACATGGCATGGCACAAGACCATCTCCAGTGAAATTAGAAGATTTTCCAAAGCAACTTCTCTGCCCAAGTGATGTTCAGTGTGCAATGAAATTCTGAACAATGGTCTACAGGATGTAATTATTTCCCATGTGGCTCCCTGAATCTGGTCATAGTTGATGCACTAGCCATTTACCTTCTCCTCTGATCTCTGGGGTCCATGTTACAATTTCAACACTTCCTGCCCTTGCAACCTATATCCCATCCTAGTTCTTGTGATCCTCGCCTAATATGATACTGAGGAAAGGACAAGTAAGGGGAATTTTTACACTCCTCTACTCTACAATATGATATAATTAGTCTTCTTAACCTTTTTTTTAATTTTTTTCTTTTTGACTTTTTGGGTTACATCCAGGAATGCTCAGGGGTTACTCCTGGCTCTGCACTTAGGAATCAGTTCTGGCGGTGCTTGGGGGACCATATGGGATGCCAGGTATCAAACCTGGGTTGGCCATGTGCAGGGCAAACGCCCTACCCGCTCTACTATTGCTCCGGCCTCTAGTCTTCTTAACTTTTATCAAAATCTCTTTAGATGTCCATCAACTTATTTTTGAAGTTTCAAATACTTTTTAACTTAATTTTGAATTTTTCTTTCTCCTTGAAGATCAACTGCAACAGTCCTAATTCTTTATATATGACTGAGAACATCTGTCTTAGAGGAAAATTCAAGTATGTTCAGAAAAGAGAAGACACAAAATTTAGGATCTCAAGATTGCATTTGTTTTTAATCTCAGTTCATTGTTCCTCTCCTCCTCTCCCAACTATTCATTAATCCCTATTTGTTCACTATGCTACTGACATATTTTCTCAGATCTCTTAGTTGTCAGATTTGCTAGCTTACTTTTTTCAAATCTCCTTTGTCATATAATTCTGGATAAAGACATTAATTTTGTGTTAGTTAGGAAGGGAGCTGGTGTATATTAGTAGGTATTAAGTTCATGCTATCTTAAAAAAGAAGAGAAATTATTAGAAGTATGCCAGTATATTCCTCCCAAATAAATCACTTGTTCAATTTTTTGCTTCAAGGTTTTCATCCAACCCTGGAGTTTTCAAATTTACCTCTCCACCCCAGGGTAGAAATTAACTCCATAATAACCTCTAACACATGTATTTAATTTCAATAAAATATTGTCTGTTTCATTCTTTTCCATCAATTTAAATGTGAATCCTTAAAATTTCTGTATATATAGCTGAATCTTTACTCAAAGGATAATTTGATAGAAAAATATTTTTCTGTTGTTTTCAGTTTTAAGGTCATCATCCAGTGATGCTCAAGGGTTACTCACAACTCTGCACTCAAAGATCACACCTGGAGGGCTTCAGGAACCATATCGTGTGCCAGAGATAGAACCCAGATTGGCTGTGTGCAGGGCAAATACCCTATCCACTGTACTCTCTCTTAAAATACCCCTAATAACTTGTCATTTTTATATACAGGAGGCCCAGTTTAATCCTAAGCATTTCAGAGTCTCTTGCATACAGTCAGGAGCCAATCCCTGAGCATTGAACCAGGATAACTCTTTTTTTTTTTTTTTAGTGAAACACCATGAGGTACAGTTGTAGATTTACAAATTTTTGTGCTTGGGTTTCGGTTATACAATGATCAAATACCCATCCCTCCACCAGTGCCCATTTTCCACCCCCATGGTAACATCCCTCCCCCCCATCCCCCATCCCACCCTGCCTCTGTGGCAAGGCATTGCCCTTTGTTCTCTCTCTCCTATTGGGTGTGGTGGTCTGCAAAAGAGGCATTGAGTGGCAAACATGTTCAGTCCATAGTCTACTTTCAACATGCATCTCCCCTCCTGGGAGGATCCTCCAGACACCCTTTTATTTGGTGCTCCCTTTTCTCTCTGAACTGTCCTTTCCCCTAGAATACCCGGCTGGCCTCTAAGCTATGGAGTAATCCTCCTGGTGTTGATCTCAGCTATTCTTGGGTATTAATCTCATATTTTGTTACTTTATATCCCCCAGATGAATGCAATCTTTCTATGTCTATTCCTCTCTTTCTGACTCATTTCGCTTAGCATGATACTTTCCATATTGTACCACTTGTATGTAAATTTCATGACTTCATCTCTTCTAAGAGCTACATAGTACTCTATTGTGTAGATGTACCAAAGTTTCTTTAACCAGTTCTTGGGCACTCAGTTTTCTTCCAGTTTCTGGCTATTGTAAAGAGTGCTGCAATGAACAAACAAGTGCAGATGTCACTTCGACTATACGTTTTTGCCTCTCTGGGATATATTCCCAGGAGTGGTATTGCTGGGTCAAATGGGAGCACAATTTCTAATTTTTTGAGAAATGTCCATACTGTTTTCCAAAAGGGCTGAACTAGTCGGCATTCCCACCAACAGTGAAGGAGTGTCCCTTTCTCGCCACATCCACACCAGCATCGGTTGCTTTTGTTCTTTGAATGTGAGCCAGTCTCTGAGGTGTGAGATGATATCTCATTGTGGTTTTGATCTGCATCTCCCTAATGATTAATGATGTAGAGCATTTTCTCATGTGCTTTTTTGCCATTCGGATTTCTTCTTTGAGAAAGTTTCTGTTCATTTCATTGCCCCATTTTTGGATGGGGTTGGATGTTTTCTTCTTGTGGAGTTCAACCAGTACTTTGTATATCCTTGATATCAACCCCTTGTCAGATGTGTATTAGGTGAATATCCTTTCCCATTCTGTAGACTGTCTTTGTATTTTGGTCACTGTTTCTTTGGAGGTGCAGAAGCTTCTTAGTTTAAGATAGTCCCATTTATCTACAGGATAACTCTTGAACCAGATATTATTCTGTAGAAGAATGCTTAAGAGGGAATGTTCACTATTTACAATATGGATGAACCTGGGGGAGATTTTGCTAAGAGAAACAATCCAAACATAAATTGATCAATGCTATGATCTCCCTTAGGTGTAGAATTTAAAAGTCAAACCCATAGAAACAGGCGGTAGAATGGCAGTTACCAGGAACTGAAAAGAGGAGAATATGGGAAAATGGTTGTCAAAGGGCACCAAGTTTCAGCTTTGCAAAGCCAGTTATTGACTTTTCCTCTAATACAGCATGTTGTCAATAGCTAACAATATTATATGTAATATATACCTAAATTTTTCTATGAGGAATAATATCAAATTGCTTTCTTAACACAAAAAAAATTAATAAAAATAATAATAGGAACTGGGATGTGGTTCAGGGTTAGAATGCTTTCCATGCATATGTGTTGCCCTGAATTTGACCACAGATACCTTTTTTTAATGTAAGCAATAATAATTTACTGTTTTTGGCATATCGAATATGCCACAGATAGCTTGACAGACTCTGCTGTGTGAGCAGGATACATCTTGTACGCCGTCCATCTACGAGATGGTCAGACTTCTTCATCAAGACCATGAACGATTGTTTTCAGGCTCTCCGTGTTCCTGGAGCAAACAGACACCATTGAGCTACAGCAGCATGCAACAGGAATGAATGGAGATGTTACTGGCCTCTGCTCAAGCAAATCGATGAGTAATGGGATGTCAAGTGACCAAGTAATCAAGCAATAATAAAGAGAATGGGAAGAAATCTGGGTATTAGAAATACAACTGTGGCTTGATGGTGGTGATAGCCTCTCTCATCTGCACATATGTCCAAACACATGGAATTGTATATATTTTCACATGTTGATAAATGGTTAACAAATTAAAAATATTTAAAGAACATATTAATCATTATTCATGGGTATATTCTTCACAATTCAATGTTATATAGATTAAAATTCCAAAGGATAGTGTTTTTAATGAGCTTTTATTCATTATCCATTTTAAGTTTTTGTTACAATGTATTTATCAGTATCAGAAAAATAGCGATACTATTTATATATAAAAGCATTTTAAATTCCATTTAAGCCCATTCATTTCACCTCCTACAGCTGCATTTATGTTTTCACAAAAGATGAATAAGAAATAAATAGAAGACCAATGCTTCAACTGATCTACCTGTATACTCCCCCTGAAAAATGTAGACATGAAACCACTTTAGAAAAAAGTACTCGCTCAAATATACAATCACTTGATAACTCAGGCATGAATGATGGTGCCTACAAAAGGAGAGAGGGGGAGGAGGACAAATTACAGGTCTCATGTTTGATTCACAACTAAAGAAACCCCCCAAAGAGAAAACTTCCAAAGAGAAAAGTGAATGTTTGTTCTCAAACAAAAGAACCCAGTGACCACAGTGTGATGAAGCACTCTGACATTTCCGTGCTTCCACTGGTTCCCAGATTAGAAATCCCAACACGTGGAGCTTGCCTCAGCAGGTAAAATGCCCTGCTTTGCATGGGATCACTGCATCTACCTTTTCCTATTTGAATTCCACTTTACTCAAGAAAGTTTCTTCATTTTTTGGTTTCCCTAATCAATTTGTAGACTTTGTTCTGGCCAAGGGTAAAATCAGTCACACAGAAGAGCATCTGTGGGCTTAACAATGCATTCAAGATTCTCTAATTTAATCCTTTAATTTTCAGATTTTAAAAAAAGTAAAATTCATAAGGAAATTGGAAATTTTTCCAAATCACACAGCTCATTCATGCATAGTTTCTGAATATTCTTCTTCCTGACTGACATCTTTCAAAAAAGAAAATCAAAATGAATTATCCGGGTTCAGGTATGGAAGCAAAAGGTATGTGTTTCTACAGGAGTCTGGGAGTTAAGGAATTCAGAAGAAACTGTAGGAAAGGAATAACCAATGTGTGCAGTGTTGGAAGAGCTGACTAAAATGCCAGCTCTGCAGAAGTGAACTCAGTCACTTCAGGCAAAGGCATTCCCTGACAGCAGACCATGCTACGGATCCTGGGAGCCTATGGGGCATCCTCTGTGCAAGGCCATATGCTGGTGATGGAGATGCTTTGTCCGTGGCACCTAAGGGCACCAGCCTCACACTCTGTCATCGTCTGTTCCCGGCCATCCACTTGCACACAAATGCTAAATCCTTCTTCCTCGCACTCTGATGCTTCTCTGCAGACACATTTGCTGTTCTGGGCTGAAAAAAGAGAGAGATAAACACTCAATGGCATTACCGCAGAAGTGGAACAATCCAAGCACATTAACACCAAAGTCAGATACAGTGAATAGAGTATTAACTGACACTCCCACTCACACAGGCAACCAAATGCGCACCAGAGAAGTAGGAATAGGGAAATAATGCACTTTGTTCATAGGGGATGAGGGGGAGAGGTGATGAATTGGTGCCAGACTTTCTTTCTTTTGGTTGAATCTGAACATAGTGGTTGCCTCCAACTACTCTCTGGCTCTGCTTCCACATGTGCTATGCTGTCCAGGTAAGCCAGAAACTGATGCATCCTTCAGCCCCCAATCGAGAGTGACTTCAACAAAGAGTTGATCACCAGGGCTTAAGCAGAGAGAGACAGAGCCACGAAGAACTAAACTTAGTTTGAAAGAGAGGGCACGAAATGCAAAGGGCTACAAGTCCTAGAAAACCAAGCCAAGAAAGAACTGTGGAGAAAAGTTACGAGTGCCTTGAGGGTCTGAGGTTGAAATATATGAACCAAGAGTTCCCTGAGAAAACTAACAAGAGCAACCAATGGTGGTGCCTCAAGTGACACATAATCTCAGTTGTACAAACCCTGAAAGGTGTTGGAGGAAGGTGCCTTGTGGGTGGAGGCCCAGTGGGGAGAAACTGAAGAACTGACCAGAGCCTTACTGACTACACCATGCAACTCCCAAATTTACAAATACGGAAACAAGGTCTGTGATTTGGTTCTGTAACCTCTCCCCTCCTCCCTGGCCAGATAGCTAAACCACAAGTGGTTGCAATGCTGTTGGTGTTAATCAACATTCAGTTCATTGTTATTTGGATATGGTATGAAAAAATTGAGACACAAACTCTTTCTCCTCTGAAAATTAGATAAAGAGGAGGGAAGGCAGATAGTACAGGTGTGGAGATGTTTACTCTGCATGCTTTCAATGCTGGTTCAAATCTTGAGCACCGCCACATCCCTCCCCCAACAAAACAAAAATCCAAAGATAGAAAAGGTCACTAAAGTTAATGGGAACGTCAGACTGGTTCAGCCTTTTTGGAAAACAGTATAAACATTCCTTTAAAAAATCTAGGAACTGAGCTTCCATTTGACTCAGTACCCCCACCTCTCAGAATATACACGAATTTCCCCTAAAAATGGGGAAAATTTGTACCCCTGCACTGGTGGTATTGGAGCACTACATGCTTTAAAACAATTGTTTAATGAACAACTTTGTAAATTACAGTGTTTTTAATGAATTTTTTTTTGCTTTTGGGGTTACACCCGGCGATGCTCAGGGGTTACTCCTGACTCTGTACTCAGGAATTACTCCTGGCGGTGCTCAGAGGACCATATGGGATGCTGGGAATTGAACTCGGGTTGGCCGCGTGCAAGTCAAATGCCCTACCCACTATGCTAGCGCTCCAACCCCAAAAATTAATTTTTAAGAAAAGACATTTGCACCTTTATGTTCCTGGCAGCATTATCCATAGTAGTCAAATTCTGGAAACAACCCAATTGTCCAAGAATAGATGAGCTGATAAAGAAACTACAGTACATGTACACAATAGGTTTTTACTCAGCCATAAGGAAAGACAAAGTAATAGAGTTTGCTATTATATGGAAGGACCTGGAAAATACCATGCTAAGTGAAGTTAGTCAGAGGGAGGGAGACCAACAGAGGGAGACTGACACTGACACAGAATGAGCTCTTTCATATGGAGAGTGTAAGAAAGCATAATAAGGGAACAACCAATGAAAGCCCAAGGACAATGGAATGAAAGAACATGAGAACTGGTATAGCACTGGAAGCATGCCACCTGAGTGGGCCGGGAAATAGGAAAGAAAGGGGGCACCAAATATAGCCAGGGAAGATCAAATGGTAGGAGGAGATGGTGCTGAAAGGTGGTAAAGTGGTTTGTATGAAACCCTATCCACAACAGTATAATGACCCATAAAGCAAGACCTACATATTTTTTAAAATTCCCTCTTGTAGAGACTGATTGGTGGGTGGGAGGCAAGGTGAGGCCGGAAGGAAACTGGTGGGAGGAAGTGGGCACCGGTAAAGGGATTGGTGTTGAAATAATGTATACCTGAAACCCAGTCATGAACAACTGTGCAATTTTGTGGTGTGGTGGTTGATAAAAAAAAAGGAAAATTTTAAGTAGCTAAAGTAAACCCTTATCCATTTTAGGTAAGTCAGAGAAAATCTTTTATCTATTCTTTTCAAATCTTCAAATCCTCCCTATAACTTTTAGGGGAAAGTATCACCTTGGCACTAATATATTTGTAATATTCCTTAATACTCGTTAAACTCACCTTATCACAAAGAAATGGCATCTCTCAAACTCCAAGCTGCTTCTGGCTGGACCTATGGTATTTTTGTTCCATTATTTATATTTTTACAGATACTAATAATTATGGCAAGTGATATTTCCTTTTTTAAATGTGATATGGAAAAAAGTTATACAAATTTTGTGAGTAGTTTTTTCTGGAGGGCAGAATTCTGTATAGCCAAGAACAGTTTAAGCTTGTTAAAATTTATCAACTTTTGGGGCTGGAGCAATAGCACAGCGGGTAGGGCATTTGCCTTGCACGCAGCCGACCGGGGTTCAATTCCCAGCATCCCATATGGTCCCCTGAGCACCTCCAGGGATAATTGCTGAGCACAGAGCCAGGAGTAACCCCTGTGCATTGCCAGGTGTGAACCAAAAAGCCAAAAAAAAATTATCAACTTTTTTGATAAACTTAAAGCCATTATAGGGAGGATTAGTCTATGGTTGGAAACCTGCCTCAAGTGCTGGGGGAAAAGGCAATTGGGATAGAGAAGAGACCATATGACAAAGATAGTTGGAAATGATCACTCTGGAATTGCCTGCTGAGAGTAGATAAAGGAACACACACAATAGCCTATTAGTATCTGTGCTGCAGACCAGAGTGCCCAGAAGGAATAGCAGAGAGAGGGAGAAAGAGAGAAAATATGTGTGTTGTGGGGGGGACAGAGAGAGAGAGAGAGAGAGAGAGAGAGAGAGAGAGAAGGAAAGTGCCTGCCATAGAGCCATAGAGGCAGGCTGGCGGGAACGGGGTGGCAGGAGGGAAACTGGAGTCACTGGTAGTGGCAAATGGACTTTGGTGAAGGGATAGGTGTTGGATCATTGTACAACTGAAACCTGATCAGCTTTGTAACTATGTATCTCATGATGATTCAATTTTTAAAAATTGTTTTTAATTTAATTTTTTTAAAAATCCAAGGCAGGAAAAGAAAACTTATAGCCAGTTATCAAGTCTTTCCTGTGTCTATTCACCAAATTTTCCTCTTTTCTTCCCATAAACAACACTTTGTTCCTCATCAGGCACATTTTAGCTGGATCCGTATATACCAAATTGCAGTTCTTTGACCCCAAATGAACACTTTGCCTTTTGAATCGCTTTTTAATTCTCAAGCTGATATTTATTTTTTGTCCACTTATCATAGGTTTGCAATACTACAGAATTTCAAGGGTTTAGTTTCACAACTCCCTATATGTGTTTTACCCCACTCCTTTTAGCAGAGTTCCACACTATCACCAAGGAAAACCCACTCAAATCTCCCATTCTCCACCTCGTAGTGACAGTATAAAAGGACTCTTACCATCACATTTGCCCCATAATGGACACACACCACAAGCTTTTTCAGCTGAAGCAGGCAGGGTACAGCTCTCCTTTCCAGTTAGAATGTAATTTCTACTCTGACAACGAAGAACATGCATCTTGCAAACTGTCAGAGGCAGTATCCTTTGGCTTCTCTCATCTCGAGCACATACATTCAAAGAAGATCTGAAAGAGAATTTTTTAATGACATAATTTACAAGATTCTCATTCTTAAAATCCAAAGGTAGGAAGTAAATTGATAGAGAAAAAGACAGAATCATCAAAGATCCAACAAACAAAGAGAGTGCAGGCAGCCAATGTCATTTACTGCAGAAGAAAGGAGCTGCTCCCAGCCCAGCAGTGTTGAGAATCCATGTCCATGTATACTGATTGTTCATCAGCTGGTGATGGGGTTCCCAGGGCAAGATGAAGCTACATGTTGCAAAGCTCCTTTTGTAAAGTATCTCTGTTCACCAAGACTGGAAGTAATACAGCTGGTAGGGTACTTGCCTTGCATGTGGCCAAACTGGGTTCAATCCCCGGCATCCCATATGATACCCCAAACACCGCTAGAAGTGATTCCTGAACGCAAAGCCAGGAGTAACCCCTGAACTCACCAAGTGTGAGCCCACGTCCCTCTCCCCCTGCAAAGTATGTTTTTACAAAATAACTTAGAAATATTTCCTTAAAGATTTTTCACTTTTTTAAGCATTGGTTAATTAAGTTAGTAAGACTCAGGTTTTCACAAATTCCACTAATTGGAAAAAACACGTTTTTAAACATGCGTAAAGAAAGCATGACTGTAATAAAACCTCAAGGCATTTCTATAATGTATATAAAGTCTATATTTATTTATACATACTCACTTCTAATAAATTCTTCATCTGACCCAGAGTTAAATTTACTGTGAGTTATTTACAAAGCAAAGTAAAATCCTTTTTTCTGCTTATTTCCAGTTTATATAAAAACTGAATAGCTTAAAGGACAGAGCCTGTACAAGGCCACTTCCTTCACTATCTATCTGTCTTTGAAATGAAAACATGATACTATAAACAGCAGGTTGTGGATAAATTACATGAATCTGCAAAGTCAGAAAGAGGATGAAAATGAATTGAAATAAATAATTATTAATAGAGAATTACAGCACAAAAAATCAGAACATTCTTGGTGACCATTCTACTTCACCCAAGAAGTTGCTGAATTTTAAGAGATCACCACAATAACCATTATCCAATGCAGTTAGATTGTATAGCACAAAGTGTGTGACTGCAAAGGGCAAGAGATGTTTTGAATGACTGTAAGAACTAAATTAGCAATCAGCTTAATTAATGCCTGAATAAATAACTTTTACATTTAATAAATAACTTTTACATTTACTTTTACATTTAAAAAGAAAAGAATGGAATTAACTTATTTGGTAAGAAACAAATAATTGGTGATTAAATTTGTGCTTTTATTCCTAGTCTTAAAAATTACAATAAGTCTAGGTCAGCTTGTGTAAATGCCCAGTAATGTGTGTGAATATTTATTATTTACATTATCTTCTTTAAAAGTGGCATCCTAAATGCAATATAATTTTCTGAATTGCATCCTCAATCACAACAAGGTCATTAGCAGAAAAACCAATATGGAAACATCTATAGTTTTCCAAGCACTGTTGCTCTAAAATTTCTATCTTAGTTTTGACAATTAAATGACGTCAAGTTTAAGTGAGGGGTTAATATTATGGGAATATGGGTCAAGGGTACAGGGAAATTAAGATTGCAAGCTCTCTAAAATCTAAAATTATTCCAAGGTGAAACATATCCCAAAATGTTGATCAGTACTTCTCAATCAAGGAAATTTTGTCCTTGGAATTTCTTTACAAATGCCATGAGATACTTTTGGTGATCACTGAAGAGAGATGCTACTATTATGGAATGAATAGGATACAGAGGTGCTGCTAAAAACATCTTAGCATGCACAGAACAGGCTCCCCAACAAAGAACTACCAGCCCCCAAACTTGATAGTTGTGGGGGTTGAGAAATCTACATCAACGAAATCTAACATTAACACACTTCTTTGTCCTCTGCTTTCAGCAGCATTTAATCAAGGGAAGCGGTGGCAAGAGATTGAAAGGAAGGGAAGAAAATGCAGTTGGGGAGTTTATTTCCCTGCCTTACTCCTAGGGGATTTGGTCGTTCTTGCCATGACTCATCCTAAAATGTCATCTCCAGAGAACCCTTTTGTCTGCAAGTTTTCATCATACTCCAGTCCTTGCTCCTTCAGGGACCTGGCGGAGATGAATCCCCTAGTTATTACCAGTTCAGGATTACTGCCCTGTGACTTGCATCGTCCTTTACATGCCCGTACTTCTATAAATAGTCCCAAGAGCAAGCCTCCTCTTGCCCTAATTTAATCATGCCATCTATATCCAACAGAGACCATGTCACGACATCTACTAATTACTTCAGCTAGCCTCCTGCAGAGATTTCAAGCTGGATGGCATTCTTCTCATGCAAATCTAGGAATAGATATTTCAAGAATAAGAAAAGCAGCTACTATTTTCTCCCCCTATGGGGAATTGAAGAGTTTATGTCTTACGGGCATTTCAGCCCTAATCTTCTCAAGCTCTAAATCCTTAAGTGACAGTTTTGTCATTTTGTCCCATTTCCTTTTATATAGGACAAGCTGTGCTTGAGCAGTCCTTCAGCTCTTTTGGCTGGATGGATTAGGATATCACTTAACCTGCCAGTTCTCTGTCCAGGTGACCCAAACAAATAAGGGGCCATGATGGATTAGATGAAAATGCAAAGACCTTTACCTTTGCTGAGTGGAATTTTGATCTAACTTTGACTAGTAGTAGGAAATCTTCCCATTTACCTTGAATCATATAAATGAGAGAAATGAGCAGAGAGAACTTACCCACATTCGTAGGGCATTTTACAAACACATCTCGAATTCTGCAGTTTTTCCCAACGCTGACATACAGGCACTGCCTGTGTCACAGATGTGTCTAAAAGAAAAGGGTTAGACAGAAACAACCACTAGGAGAGTTTCCTGTGTTAAGTCATGTTATTTTAATTATTGAGCCAGGCTATGTAGTAATCTCAACTGTGGTAATTTCGTGTAATTAAAAATATGGGAGCTGAGGATGCCGTCCCACAGGAGACCATGTGGTTATATGTGTAAGGCTTGTAGGTTAATCCCTAGTGCAAATAAAACAAAACTGTACCAAAACAAAACTGTGGAGGAGTCTTTAAGAGAAAAACTGTGTCTTGGAGCACCCTGCAAACAGTTTCACTGATCACAATATTTTCATTTCTTGATTCTTGCATATTGATCTTGCACTTCTTCCTTTTCATTGTTATTGCTTTGGGGTTTTTTTGTTTTTAGACCATACCAGCAGTGACCAGGGTTTAATCCTGACTGTGTGCTCAGGGTCACTCCTAGGGAGCTCAGGCGACCATATGGGATGTTGGGGATTGAATTCAGATTGGCTGTGTGCAAGGCAAATACCCTAACCACTGTACTATCACTCTGGCCCTGTGATCTTACACTTTTTATTAACTATAATATTTAATCTTTCTTTAAAAATGCCCATTTAAGAGACAAGGAAACTAAAGGTCAGAATAGTTAAGAAATTGGGGTTAGTTTGCACATTTAACGAACTAGTTGAGTCAGATTTATGTCCATATTTATCTGAATCCAAAATCAGTCAAGGAGATTTTCTTTCAACAAGAAGGTAGTGTCTATAAATTGTTCCTTATTTGAACTGCATTTTATTCAGGGTGTGAATAATGGGACAGAAAACAGCAGCATGACTTGTCCTAATATAGGACCTGGCTGGTATCCGAGATCTATAAGATTCTCTCATGTGTGACCTCTTACAATGGCCAGATAGCCTCCTCTCATTAGTGAGCAAATGTCTGGGGGCACATACATTAGTAAAATTCTTTCTGTTGCTGTGTATTTTCTACAAAAGCTAACCATCATTCTAATTCTAACAAGAAAGCACCTTGGTCCAGCTTATGAGATGACAACTTGGTTGCCATCACTTTGGCTCTACCTGATTAGAATGTGAATTGTCAAAAACATCAGTTACCACCTTGTCCCTTCATTAAAATGAAATCCAGTGACATATATGTTCCCATTAAAAAATAGTTCCCTGTTGGATCTAACTCACAAAAGTTTATTTGATTGCACAAACTTTAGAACTTCCATACTTTGGAAAACATACAAGCTTTGGATATAACAGCAAAATCCCAGAAACAATTTAAAAGTGTATATAAATGGTAACAATGTGAAGCAGTCCTGAATGTCCAGCAATGTGTGTGAATATTTATTTTTACGTCATCTTTCTTTTAAAATGGCATCCTAAATGCAATATAATTTTCTGAATTGCATCCTCAGACACAACACGATCATTAGCAGAAAAACTAATATGAAAACATCTATATTTTGTCAAGCACTATTGCACTAAAATTTCTGTCTTAGTTTTGACCAATTAAATGATGTCAAGTTTAAGTGAGTGGCTAATATTATCGGAATTCTGGTCAAGGGAAATTAAGATTGCAATTTTTCTAAAATCTAAAATTATTCCAAGGTGAAACATACCCTAAATGGTATTAATCAGTACTTCTCAAATCAAGGTAATTTTGTCCATTAGAGTTTCTTTACAAATTCCATGAGATATTTTTGTTGGTCAGTGAAGAGAGGTGCTACTATTGTGGAGTGAATAGGATACAGAAATGCTGCTAAAAATATTTTAGCATGCACAGGACAGGTTCCCCACAAAGAACCGCCAGCCCCCAAACTTGATAGTGTGGGGGATGAGAAATCTGCATGAACCAAATATAAATTTTAATTATAAAGCATGTACAGAAGTTCCATGTTATAATTAGAAGTTTACTTCAATCATTGATAGAAATGAAATTTCTGATGTTAAAGTTTTCTAAAGTTTGTTATAATTCTGTTATGAATAATTGATGATGGAATTACCTATGCCAAAGACTTTTGCATTTAAGAACTTAACTGTTATTTTTATAGACTGGTTAACAAAAGAAACACAGTATTGAAATATAGCACAGTGGATAGGATACTTGCCTATATGCAGCCAACCTTGGTTCAATCCCCAGCACAACATATGATCCCCCAAGGCCATCAGAAGTCACTTTTCATTGCAGAGCTAGGAGTAAGACTGAACATTGATGGGTTTGACCCCAAAACACAAACAAAAAATTTTTGTACTAATACCTGATACTGACTGGGGAAGAGAGAAATGAAGGGTTATTATTTCATGAGTGCAAAATTTCACTTTGAGGAAATTTGAGGAGAAAGAAGACAAAATGTTCTGAAGACGGAGGATGGTGATGTTGCATAACAATTGGAATGTCCACATGGCCCAACAACTATACTTTCAAAATAGTAAGCTTTATGTTATGAAAATCTTATTGCAATTGTTTAAAAAGATTAAAATACTAGATAGAGGGCATTTTATAACATCAACCTTGGAAGCTGGCAAACCTACAATTTTTGTTTGTTAGAGACAGATTTTAAGAATAGTTATTGTTCCACATCTTCCAAAAATACACCCAGGTATAATAGCATTCTTAATTAAAATTTTAATAGAATTTTCTACTGAGTGGGAGAGAATTCATACCAAATAGTTCTATAAAATGAGTGAAACACATTTTAGAGAGACAAGTAAATAATCTCATTTGCAGTAAAAGAGCAACCTCATCAACTATATATTGTTCTCTTTAATTTAAGAATTATTGGTACAGGCCCATTACTTTAAATATCCTGAAGAAACTCATTTATGTGTCAGCATATGTGGAAAGCAAAACTATCATCTCTGAGATGGATCTTTGCAAGCTCAGAAGCTCATGGGAACTGGCATGGACACACAGCTCTCGCTCTTCTCCCTGTGACTCAGGAATGGTTCGTGCCACTAGCAGTCATGAAGTAGCCTGTGTTAGTTCCATAGGAACATCCCCAGTCTGTTTACCCCAGTTGGTTTAGAAAAGACCTCACAGAAACAGTTCCGAGACTCTCTGCTCTCTGCCCCACACGCTCCTTTCCTGTACTCACTCACTGCTCAGGCACAGCTCACTCCAGGCTCTCCACACCTACACTCTCCACCTATGTGCTACACTCATGAGTCCCTAGCTCACCAGGATAGTAGTCTGTAAAAAACAGCAGTATGTCTTACCTGCCCTCCCTTCCCAAAGGGTCTTTGAGGGGATACCTACGAAAAATAAAAGGCTCCTTTCCCAAACTTGTGCTGTGAGGTCTCAGTTACTTTGTTCAGTGGACCCTTGTTTTAGTCTCTTGTCTATTTGGTAAATTTTTTGACCAACCTACCACTCAAGCCCCTCAGGATCCAGACCCATGTAACACCTTCAAGTCACTGGATGCTCCATGCAGCCTGATGGTTCTGAACCTCAATTACGCCACTAACATCATTCAGGGAATCTACTATTTACTTCATCCTCACAATCAATGATTAACTTTAGCATTGAATTGAAAGCATGGATCAGAGAAATAAGATACATAAAAGAAAGCAAATTTCTTTTCTTCTTTGCTGTTTTTAGTTATTACAAGCACATTTTCCAATTATTCAACAATGTTCCAGCTGGAGAGATAGCATAGGAGATAAGGCATATGCCTTGCATGCACTAACTTTGGTTGAATGCCCAGCACTATATATGGTACCTAGCACTACATATAGTCCCTGAGCATCATCAGCGGTAGTATCAGAGAACCCTGAGAACCACCAAGATGGCCCAGGTGCCCCACAGCATCCAAGTCACACAACATTCTCAGAACCTTTCATAAAACCTCCCACGTAGATGACTGAGAATCACAGGGCCTCATGGTTCCTGAGCCTCACTTAAGAGACTCAAAAGGAAATGAAAAATGTTTTTGGTGTAGAGAGATATTCAGTGGGTCTATAGGCAGCTGACCCAGGTTGAATCCCCAATACACCAAACGTTCCCTCAGTGTCTCCAGCAGCAATCCCTGAGCACAGAGTAAGGAGTAAGCTTAAGCACTACCAGATGTAGGACCCCCCAAAAATATTATTTTTAATGTTGACTACATCTTCCACTCGAAGCCTCAGCTGAAGACCCTGGGCGTGCTGGGTCCCCTGGACCACAACTGGCTCGTGGAGAACAACATTGCTGGCTGCCCACACCCGCTCATCCCCTCCGACCACTTCTCCCTGTTTGCCCAGCTCAAGCTGGCGCTGCCTTTTCTGCCCCCAGTGAATGGCCTTCACCTCCTGGGCAGGAGCTAGTCCTGGCACCTGCCTCCAGGGCAGGAAGTGGTTATTCAGCACTCACCTCCCAGGCAGGAGGCTATTCCTGTTCCCTTCAGGAAGTGCCCTGCTTTCTTCATTGGAAAACCCATCAAAAGCTGAAGTTAAGGGGAGTGAGGTATCAGAGAGAGGGAGAGAGAATTTTGTTTTGTTTTTTTGACTTAGTGATTTAAGTTTTCCATATGATTTTGGACCCAGGCTAGAGAGATAGCACAGTGGGTAGGGCATTTGCCTTGCACGCAACTGACCCAGCTGACCCGAGTTCAATTCCTCTGCCCCTCTCAGAGAGCCTGGCAAGCTACCAAGAGTATCTCACCCGCACTGCAAAGCCTGGCAAGCTACCTGTGCCGTATTCGATATGCCAAACACAGTAACAATAAGTCTCACAATGGATACGTTACTGGGCCCGCTCGAGCAAATCAATGAATAACAGGAGGACAATGCTACAGTGCAGTACAGTTTCAAAAAAATATACATTATTTCTTCCATGCTGAAAATAGAATCCAGAGCCTCACAAGTGAGAGGCAAGTGCTCTACCATTGAACTATACCCCTGTCTTGATATGGATTGTTTTAAACATAAATCCAGGGCCTAAGAGATAGAACAACAGGAAGGGTGCTTGCCTGGCATGTGGTGAATGGGAATTCAGTGACCAGCACTCAAATGATACCCTCAGCACTACCAAAAGCCATCTCTGAGCACAGGCCCAGGAGTAAGCTCTGAGTACTGCAAGCTGTGGGAGAAAAAAGTTTCATCCATTAAATGTCTGTAAAATAAATAAGCATTATGTTGTAGACTTGAAACTAATAAAATGTTACATGCCAATTATATCACAATTTCTTGGAAAAAATCTTTAAAAATACGTCATTTGGCTTATTAAATTTCTTCCTTAAAGACCATTTTAATGTTTCTGCTGTTCAAAAATCCAGGATTCGGGGCTGGAGCAATAGCAGAGCGGGTAGGGCGTTTGCCTTGCACGCAACCGACCCGGGTTCGATTCCCAGCATTCCATATGGTCCCCTGAGCACCACCAGGAGTAATTTCTGAGTGCAGAGTCAGGAGTAACTCCTATGCATTGCTGGGTATGACCCAAAAAGCAAAAAAAAAAAAAAATCCCGGATTCTTGGAATTCTATGATTCAAAAGAACTTCACAAACCACAGCACTTTTTCTACAATGATTTCAGCTTTGCATCATTAAATGAAAATGCTTTGAAGTATCTAATTTAAATAATACTATTAAATGTCCTGAGAATTCCCCACACCAAAAATGAAACATAAATTATGGTCCCAACTCTGTACTTAATAAAAATACATTTGAAAACTCAGAAAAGAAACCAAATCACGTTTAAGAAATTCTTAGTGCTATAACCAATGGATAGCGCATCCTTAGGTGAAGGGAGATTTTAAGCGCAAGTTTCAGAATCTTCCCATGCCTCCCTCTCCTTTGGTGGCATCTGCGAGCCCATCGGTGCCACAGGGTGGAGGCAAGCATCACCTGCACGAGAGCCACCGGGCCTCAGCACAGGCTGCCCACAGGACGCTCGTCCAAGAGCAGACCAGGGAGCCGCTCACCTTTTTGCACACAGCGAACACTCTTCATCTCAGGACTCCACTTCAGGCTAGAGCCACAGAGAAAGGTTGAAGGACCTTCTAAGGACATGGCACCCGCACAGGAGAAAGTCACCTTCTCACCCACAGCATAGAACGCTTGGTGCGGTTGGCTCTGGAGACCATCTCTCAATGCTGGCAAAACACAGGCAATTTCTAACAACAAAGGGGAGCAGGATACAAGGGTCAGAGCTTTTCTAAACTGTCCATCTTGGAATGTATACATACATACATACATGCATACATAAATAAATGACAGCGTGGAAGGGTACGGCTACCTGTTCTGCCTTTTTTTTTTCCACAACAAAGAACAAGGTGGAAGGTGTGAGTTTGTTCTTAGGGTGTCCTAAAAGTCGCATCCCAAACTGTGTGACATGTGGCTGATCATTGACTCCAGCAAAGACAGCTCCCACCCTTCTATCATGCCCTCAAAGCAATGTGAGAACCTTAAAGGAATAGTAAGTTTGATCAGCAAAGTCCCGCCTCTCAGTTCACTGTTAAAATCTGGCTTTCCACAGCTGACACTTCCCTCTCTATTTTAGTCAAGTGCCACTTGAATTTTTAAAAACTATTCTCGTATGTATGATTAGACATTCAATGTCCAATTAAGCATTTTACTATCTGAAATTTTCCAAGAACAGCGTTTAACCTTGCAATGTAAAAAAATAATATATATATACATATATATGTTATTTGGGGAAGGAGTTGGCTCAAAGGACTGGAAGACACATATTCCATCTCTGTCACAGCAGAGGGTACCAAACACTACTGAGAGTAATCCCCACCTCCTGAGCACTGAGGTAAGAGTACTGAATATGTCCGAAATTTTAAAAAAATACATGTTCTTTGGTTTCCATCTCTTCTTACGTGGTGATATGTATTAGCTCCCAGCTGCTTGAAAATGTAACAAGAAGTAAAACTGAAAATATGCATAGTTAAGGAAAGCAACTTGGGTGGCAATTGAAATAGGAATCCTGACCATGTATGTTAATGGGCTTGGGATAATATCCTTAAAAAAAACTAATGCTCTATTTCTGTATCATTGTCACTAGAATATCAATTCATTCACTTTCAAAATAGCATTGATTGAGTGTCTATATTTTGGAAGATATTTTATGTGCAGCTGGGGATATAGTAAGATACGACAGATGTTCTGAATGCAAAAGGATAATAATCTGTCCGCAAAGTGTTTATTTTTGCCCATGACACATATGTTGGTATCACAGTCATGACAAAACACATAGGTTGCACAAAATTAGAGGAAAAGCATTTTTGAGAGTATTAGAGGGCAGTGGAAGTTTGAAGCTACAGATTCCAGCAAGAAAGAAAGTCTAAAGTAGTGATTACATTTAGTAATGACTTTCTCCTTGAAGAAGTTTTTTTAATTACCATGCTAAGAAAAAAAAAAGGAGTTAAACTGAGGAGAGAGATTTAACTCAGCTGAAGGAAAGAAAGAAAAATAAAACTAAATACAAACTAAAAAATTTGATAATAAGCTGAGGATGGCTCGAAGTGGGTGGTACAAAGTGCAGATACACTTTCTTACATACCTATATCTGAACAGAATATAATATCAAGATTTAAGGAAGTAAAAAGATCATGCTACAATGAAAGAATGAGCATGTTTTCAGTACACTCCTGAAATCGGAACAGGAATATAGGGCATTTCAGGAAAAAGGGAGTCAAGCCTTTGAACTCTCATCTCCAACTGTATACTGCAATGGAGACAACTCACTATGACACTGCATCTCCCCGAGGTGCCACTGCAGGTCTTCTCCACACCTGGCAACAGGATCTCCAAGAAGAGAATAGCCTTCGTTGCAAGAATACACTATGCTTTTCCCAACAGGAAACATGGTACTTTTATCCTAGAAAGAAATAAAGGAGACAGGAACATCCCACCTATTTTCACATAATCATAACTACCTGTATGTATATCGATATAGAGGGCCCATACATAATACTGATCTTTTTAATGTAGGAGTACTGTTATTTATTCAGTCATTGGTTAGGCTGATTGAATTGGCCATGAATTCCACAAAATAATACTGATTTTTAATCATCAAGCAATCTATATTAAAACAAGTGATTCAGAAAATCAGTCACAAAACATTTTCATTGCATGAATAGAACAAGAACAAACCCTTAACCCTGGATAATAAAACTGAGATCATGATGTAGTGGAAAGAGAAGGCAAGAAGACCGGGGCAGGCACGGGGATAAAGACAGGGACTAGAAGCAACAAAAAAAAAAAGCAGTGACAGAGGGCCTTGGATATTTTGGTGGTTGGTGAAGGTGCAGTAACTTTATACATCAAAACTATAATTGTTAGCACTATTATAACCATGTTACCTAAATATAACAGTAATAAAGAATATTTTCCCTATATAATATGAGCCAACAAACAACATTGGTACACCATTAATTTAAATAAGCGATTAATACTTGTAAAAATAAGTGACTTATTGTTCCATAAATGCCTGGCGCTATACTCAGCATTTCACTAAAATTACTTTACTCTGCCCAAGTAACTTATTTTCTTCATGATTTTAGAAAAAAACATTCTGTCACAAACTTTTGGAAATAATCTCAGTCACTTATTCTTTCTAAGATTTAATGGGCTACTCTTTGAAGAGCTTGCCTAAAAAAAATGCCAGGATGAATAGAGAGAAATATTTTTTAAATTTAAAATAATTTTAAAATAAATAGAGAAATAGAGAAATGTTTGAATCCTATAAGCACATTCTGACTTTTAGGGAAAGGATAGTGTTGATCTTCTCCCACCTGCCATCCAAGTTCGTCCTGTAAGGGAAGTGCTGCAGGGCTCATGGGGCTAAGACCCAGGGAGATGAGCTTTCAGGGTGAAGCAAGGAGGAATTTGACGTGTGAAATTAATAGCCTTTACGTGTGAACGTGAAGGCTATTAATCCTGTCTGTTTGAAGCATCTCAGGGTGCCTTTCTTTTTTTGTTCTTATACTCCACAAACCGAGAGGAGGGTGAGGTGAGGGTTGGACATGGTCCAGTTCTGCTCAGAGCATTAAAGAAGACCCCTATGAGGCCTCCTCCTCACAATCAATCTTTTCCTACTGGTGTCTGGAGTTCCACTCCATCATGGGAGTTAGAAGAGGCCCAGGTGATACTGAGATTCTAAGGAAAAGGGGAAGGACACGTGATCTTCTTAGGTTCTTCTTGTCTCAAGGCCTTGTACTGACTTCCTGAGGGCCATCTCTGCTGTGAAATCTAACTCAACAGTGCCCTTACCTGAAAAACTGTTATCAAAACCATTGGAAACAATTTTTTTTAGAGTCACAAGCTCTGTCCTAAGTCTACAGAATGAAAGACAGTGTGGGACAGATCAAGAAACGTAGTGTTTTTCTCCTTAAAGAATACTGCAGGCACTGGAATTTGGGACAATAGCTTCATACTCACTGAAGTACACAAGTTTTCTGGTAGAACACTGTGTGCATAAAGCCCTATTATTAATAGAATTTTAAATCATATTATCTTTTTTAAAAATTTCTAAAATGAAAAGTTTATGAATTGAAAAAAAGTATATGAGTTTGTCTCATTTCATTTTCAGAGCATGTTTTCTTTAGGGTCATCACAGATCAGAGTAACTATAGTCAGTGGGACTATATGTGCTCTCTCTTCGCTAACTCCCTAACCTCTCTCCCTGTCTCTCTTTCTCTCTCTCTCTTTCTCTGCCTCTCTTTCTCTCTCTCTCTTATACACACACACACACATCAGCAGCAGCAGCAGCTATATTTTCGGAAAGATTAAAAAACAACTCCTCCCCCCATGTGTGTATATCTAAGGGCTTGGGATTTAAGAAGTAAAATTCTTCATACTGGATCATTGTATAACTGAAACCCAAACACAAAAATTTGTAAGTCTACAACTGTACCTCATGGTGTTTCACTAATAAAAATATTTTTAAAAAAATTTAAATTCAAAAAAAGTAATAAAAAAAATTCAAAAGAAAAAAAAAAGAAGGCAAGATTGACAGATTGAAAGACTTCAGATGAACAGTATCTCCTATGTGAACCTTAAAAACTTCACTAGGACTGGGGCCAAAGCCTCATCATAACAAAGAAGGGCAAGAATTAATATGGCCTAAAGCCAAGAAAATTCCCTAGAATGACAAAGGGCACATGACTTAGGTTTCTTGCTAAACATTAGCATCGAAAAAATAAAATAAAATAAAATAATGCTCCAAGAACAGTAATTACCTGCCTCCTGTAATAAACCTTAAGACATACTTATATTTTACTCTCAAGTCCTACAGTTATGAAAATTTTGTAGCAACTTCATTCAGTTTTCGTACAAGAATAGGCCAGATTTTCTGTTGAAGTACTTGCTTGTTGGTGCTTACTTTAGTGTTCAGAATGGAAACATCTTGTAACCTGCTGGTAGGATTACATGTCTAACTCATTGGGCAGTAATATTGATTTCAATGGATGATAGACTGCCTTCTACAGAATTCTAAGCACTTTGGGTCAAAGAAAAAGTCACAAACTAAAACCTTAACCATGAAAACCAAAATGCTCTCATAAAGTATTTTAGTACTGTTTCATCATGAGAGAAGGAAATAGATTACGACACCGAGAGAGGGAGCAAAGAGTACATATGAAGGGAAAAATATTTTTCATAACCAACTTGAACAAATCCATCTTTCAGAGTAGGAGGTGATGGACAGAACTCTGTTGGAACCAAAGACAGGGAAAAACAATGTGGTTCGAGCAATCTGCAGGGAAAAGGAAACAAAACATAATTAATGTGAGGGAATTTCACAGCCTAATAACTACTTTTCACCACAGAAAATATTAATTTGCATCTGGAGGGACTCCATTCATGTAAAAACACTGATGTGATCATTTCTCATTCTCAGAACCAAATATCTGACCACACACTGTAACACAAAACACAAACATAAAATGAATCTTTATAACTATTACATCAGTAGTAACAATTAAAAAGCACCAAGAAACAAAAACTAATAAAGGCCTTTGCACAACACAGTTACTTTATGTGATTCTAGAAGTCACCTGTATCAGACCTAATTTTTCTCCTGTTATTTTGCTCTGAAATTCCTTTAACAAGGGTTAATTTCATACTACAAATAAGGTAATTAGAAGTAGTGAGCCTACAAAAGAGACAGAAAGAAAAAAGTATAACAATTTTTAACTGTGTTTCATCCTCAAGCAAACCCACAATTGCCAGTTTGCCAACCATCAGACTGGGATAATGGTTGTTTTCTGAGCCACCAAAAACCTGAGAATAAGACATCGCTTCTCTTCTCATTTATAGCATCTTTTATCAACTGGCACGACTTTCAGATTTTCTTAAAATTGTTTCCTTTATCAAAGGAAGTTAATCAGGACATTATAAACAGTGGACTTCACACAGAAGGAATTCTGCCTCCCCCACCTGCAATGCATAATTCATCAGTTAAGCACTTCTGAGCTCACTTTTGCAAGGTTCTGCCAAACAAGATCTTGGTGTCAGACAACTAATCTAATCAATGAAAAATTCGCATCTCGAGAAGCTGACTATGCTTAGTCAGGGATTTATCTGAAAAGTCACATGACAGTTATTGGATATTCATTCTATATCTGCATCCCTACGCACATTTAACATAATTAAGTTCTGAGAATGTTCTATTATCATCATTCTAACAGAAGAGAGATGGCAAATTGCTAGTCCAGGGTCAAGGAGGAAGCAACTGCTCATACACTGAGCTAAACTGCCTCCCACTTATTTAGCCTTTACATTTTTTTTCCTTTTGGGTCACACCCAGCAATGCACAGGGATTACTCTTGGCTCTGCACTCAGGAATTACTCCTGGTGGAGCACAGGGGACCAAATGGGATGATGGAAATCAAGCTCAGGTCGCTGCGTGCAAGGCAAACGCCCTACCCACTGTGCTATCACTCTAGCCCCCATTTATTCAGCCTTTTGAAACACCTGTATCAGGAAAACTTGAACCTCACAAGAACAAGTTGGGAGCAGCATGCCGTCCTCCTTCCACTGACTGCTCAGGGGAAAAGCTGTCACTGATTAAAAACATCCATTCAACTTATAAGTCTTTCAGTAGCAGTGATGGTGTATTGCGTGCTCACTGCAGAGGGAACCGTGTTCTATGAGACTGCCAGGAGACATGGTCTCCATTACCGAAAATGCTCCAGCTCCTCATCTTCGCAGGATCTGCTTTCTGAAGATTCTCCCACACAAGATTTCCCACCTCCACTGGGAGTAGGGTTATTGCATGACCGGCTCCTTGTTTTCCTTCCTTGAACACAGGGGCTCCAAGAGGTCCAGCAGCTCCAGTCTCCATCCACTCCTCCTACGAGATGAGTGACGAGTGCCTCAGAAAGAGCTTGTTTCAGAGCTTAGTGCAATTCAGTGATTAGCTGCAGAGACAACTGAGGTATTCATTACTTCCATTCTCTTCACTGAGGTTTTGTGTAATGGTCTGAATGTTACACGCCTAAGATTGTCCATATTAAGGTAGCATTACCAATTTTTAAATCTTTTTAATTTTTGGCAATTTTGCCAAAGCCTTTGTATGTACCTTTTATCCTTCATTCACTTTTCAAAATGAGTCGAGGTGAGCAGGAATGTAACCATTCTCAGTGGTAGTATGATTCCTAAGGCACATACTGACACACCAAGTTCACACTATATGAGCTTCCAAAAGCCAGATCCAAATTATGTTCCAGAATGATGGCTGAGTTCAGGCCCTGTTTGTCCCCCACAAAACTTCTCAATAAGGTAAGTTTCTGTTGGGAAAGCAGTGATAGGACACTTAAACATAAACTACCAGATACTCCAACTGCCAGTCTCAGATCTGGTACTGTACAAAGTGAGGAAAAGCATAAGCAAGAACAAATGCTCCTGCCTGTATACCTTCAGGATAGGTCAGGCCTATCCTGACCATCTTCCTTCTTACACCAGGACCAGTAGACGACTAAGTTCTCTAGTATTTTCCCTACTCTATTCACTAGTGTTTGTAGGAGAGAATATATGTGTACCTGACCTGACTCCTAAGAGCTTTGATTTCCTGCCTAGAAATTTATTTCAGTAACCATTCTTCTGAAGAATTGTTGGTGTGTTTATGGGTGTGTTTACTTCTCCTAAAATACTTCTACTGTGACCCATATTCCTCTTCCTCTTCCCCCACTCCAACTCGCTTCTTCATATCACACATAGGCACAAGCTAATCTGTATTTTTATGATCTTCCTCATATTGTCAAAATTAGAAATTGAGTTAATAAGGTGGTTTTCTAAATATATTAATAGGAAGCATAGTTTATTGCTATATTGCTACCCCTTTCTTACCAGCAGGGGGCACTTCCGTTTATGTGATAATGGAATCCAACCCACAAAGGAATGGATCCTAATTAAGAAATTTTCATTTACCAGGACAGGCCACTTAAGCGAGAGCCAGGGGAGCATGCCTTTCTCATACTTGTCTATAAGCAACCATAGTGTCTCCATGTACTTACATGTTTATCAAGTGGATATTAAGTGACTAATAAAACTCTAGGTCAGGTGCTAAAAAGATCATCCTGACCTTAAGATACAAGCTTTCTAGGGAAGACAGATATAAAAATACATGACAAAATCTAAATATACATAAGTTGTCTCATGCTTTACCTACTCATAAAGCCAACTCCACAGAGTTCTGTATCAAAGTGCTTAAAGCACCAAACAAACTATTGGCACACCACAGAGGTTCAACAAATACTTATGGGAAATTAAATAATGATATATAATATAAAATAGAAATAGAGGTGTTTCAAAGAGCTTTCCCTCAGAAAAGCTAGGCAATACATACACATGCATCATAGGCCTACATTAAGGCAAAATGAAATGACTATGGAAGAAGAGAAAGCATAAATCTACTTTAGGCATAAAACTCTTTTCATGGAAAATGAGTAATGGAAGACACTGTCAACCTGATTGATCAACTGGAGAAAATCTTGATTTCAGTAGTTCTAACCCAGGGGTGGAATATGATGGAAGATAAAAATTTAATGTTTATAGGATCTCTTCCAAAAGAAGCACAATCTCAAAGGGAAATGTTCATTCACTTTTCCATAAGACCAGTATAACTAGAACAAGTTCAGTGCACTCACCCGCTTGATCCCCTACAAGGAATCCTTGTTCACATGCCACACCAAATGTGCCTGGTTTGCAGGAGCAGTGGCACTGGGTCCCTTCCACAATGGCCACACCACCATTTTGACAAGGCTGGCAATGGCAGGGGTCAAATTCATCCAGATATTCCTCAAGAGCTCGTTTCAAGTACAGTCTTTTCACAGAGGCACAGGGCACTTCTTTCACCAGCTCGTACAAAGGTGTCAGCTTTATAGATAAAGGCATCAAGTTCAGATTTAGGCAAGAATATTTAATCAAAGATTTAGGCAAGAATATTTTCCTTTGGGCACTTATGCTCAACCATTTTAAAAAATCAAAAGCTACTCTTAGTTTGAATACCAACTGATTCTTGTTCAAACAAAAAAGAAAGTAATTCACTTTCTTTGCAAGATAAACCTAGAAAAGAAATTGACACTGGAGAGGGAATATTTTTATACCCTGTGTGCATACATTAAAAAATTTTTTTAAACAACAGAACATTTATTTTCTAGCTATTGGAATGTTGTTTTGAAAACAATGTACTTTCCTCCCTGCAGAGAACAGAAGAAAGGGAAGTGCACTAAAATAGAGCAAAGAAGCAAATGCAAATTAAATTTAAGGTCTGAGTTCCTGACTCTGGAAGCTGTGATAAATCCCTCTACTGGAAGTGGTGATCTTCTCTTGCAAGAAAAAGTTAAGACAGTTTTTTCTACGTTAGTTATGTACACAGAACAGCAACTGTGAGATCATGAATGTGCTTACCAAGCTTTTACAACCTGCTTTCCCAGAAACAAAAAAGCTCTGATTTAGAGCAATTCCCAACCTTTGCAGAGCAAGTAGCCTTGGCCAAAATATCACCATAATGTCTCTGAACCAGAGCTGGGATGAGAGATGCATCATTGGCTTTTGAGAAAGTCAGTATGAGGTGGCCACATGCTCACCCTGCGAGCATGGAGATTCTCCCAGAGCCACCATTCTGCCTCATTACCCACTGTCTCTACTCAGGTGCTTCCGAGCTGGTCAGCACTGCATGCTCATAGATTATAAGTCATATCTATCTGTGTTCTTCCTGTCCAGTTGTTAAGGTAGCGTAACTATGACCATTACAGTCCTGTATTGAAAGTACATCGTTGCAAATAAAAAGAAAAGGAATATTTTTCCCTAACCAACAATTAAGGATTTTTAAAGGCTTACATGTTATATTGACCATAAATATAAGCCATTATGAATAATAATGGAAGTTAAGATTTCTTAGGTAATCACACTTGCTCCCTTCAGCCTAATATTAGAGGCAAGTGGTTGTAGTATGTGGTTAGTAACTAAGGAGCTATTATCACTGAACCACACCCCTCAGTGAGCTCAGGGTTTACTCCTGATTCTATAATCAGGGATGACTCCTGATGGTGCCTTGGGGGGGAAGGAGGTGTGGTGGGGACCACATGTGGTGCCAAGAAGAGAACAGTAGTGAGTCACAAGCAAGGCAAATACCTTAAACCCTGTATTATCTCTCCTGTCTTTGTCCCCATTTCTTAATCTCTGGGAGTCAATCTAGGACTTTGTTTGACTCTCAGGGAAATAAATAAACCACAGGGGCTGAAGCAATAGCACAGCAGGCAGGGCATTTGCTTTGCACGTGGCTGACCCAGGTTCGATTCCCAGCATCCCATATGGTCCCATGAGCACCGCCAGGGGTAATTCCTGAGTGCAGAGCCAGGAGTAACCCCTGTGCATTGCCGGTGGAACCCAAGAAAGAAAGAAAGAAAGAAAGAAAGAAAGAAAGAAAGAAAGAAAGAAAGAAAGAAAGAAAGAAAGAAAGGAAAGAAAGAAAAAAGGAAATAAATCACAGAGCTAATTCTGCTGTAGCACAGGATTTGAAAATGTGCACTATTTCCATGGATAGGATGGAAAAATATGTGCATGTCACAAATTTTGACTTTTTTATGTACAACTTCATTCACAGTGACTACCAGGTAGGGGGTGGAGCGATAGTACAGGAGTAAGGGCTCTTGCCTTGCTCATGGCCAAGCTTGGTTCAATCCCCAGCACCACACATGGTCCCCAGAGCAGCACCACCAGAGACTACTCCTGAACAGAGCCAAGACCAGGCCCAGAGACCACTAGATATATAGACTCCCTTTCCCCAGAAAGAAGTACCAAAGAGAGACAGAAAACTGGATATAACTCAACTGAAGTTCACCTAGTTGACCACCTAACCAATAAAATACGCACATGGATCTGATGTGAGAGCATTTGCAGTGTCTTATCCCTCTCCTCCCACTTCACAATAAACTAACAAACTAATCCTTACATCACCCAGAAAGCTTCAGTTATTATTTTTTTTTAGGAAATTACCAATTTATTTTAAACAAAGAAATTTAAACAAAACATTTTGAACAAAAAAATAAAAACTGTGCTGGGATTTTTGGTGCCTCTATTTGTGTACTAGGCTTCATTTTTGCATGTTGTGTCACTGACTTCAATTTTCCCACAAGGTCTATTGTCTTTATTCTGTTTTTTTTTTTAGAGGTCACACTCACTGTACTGAGGTCTTACTCCTGGCTCTGTGCTCAAGGATCACCATATGGTGCTAGGGATATAACCTGGGTTGGCTGCAAGAAAAGCACTTTACCAGCTGTACCATCCCTTGGCCATTCAATCTGTAACTATGCCTAGCTTCCTGATTTTTTTTCCTGATTTTTAAGACACAACACAGTAACAAGAAGTCTCACAAAGGAGACATTACTGGGCCCGCTCAAGCAAATTGTTGAACAACAGGAGGACAGTAAGACACAACTCTTTCCCTATAAAAGACTAGGTCTGGGAATAACTCAATGGCAAAAACACCTGCCTTGCAAGCCTGAGCTTGGTGAGGTCATAGTTTATCCCTGCCACTAACCCTATATTCCTGAGTGCAACCCAGAGGCTCTGGATTTGGAGTCCCCAACACCACAACCAAGTGTACGATCTTCAGCACACTGTAATCAAGCAGTGTGCTCAACATTGCAACAACATTGCAACATCAGCCATTGCAACAACAGAAACAAAAGAAGAGAAAAAGGGAGTAATTAAAAATAAAAATGTTTAAATAACATTAAAAATATAAAATTTATCAATAAAATATCAAGACTATAAAAAACATTCTAAGATTCTTCCAACCAAATTGGTGCAATCTTCATTTTTATGAGTCCAGGAGTCTACCAGCTGCATCCACTGGAAGGAAGGTATCCTGAGGGTTGTCAGAGTTGACAGGGATAAATGCCTTCCTTTTGCAAAAATCTATAATTCCTCTAAATTAGGAACCAAGAAAACATAATCAAATTACGTCCAGTGCTTAAAATGCAAATGTTGCATTAATTTCTCTTGGGACTTAGGAGACATTTAACCTTTACAACTGGAATATGGACATAGGAGATAATGAACCTTCTGTTTCTTATTATTATGTATGCATTCATTTTACTATACAAAACATAATTGGGATACAGAAAATGCTAATTACAGTCTTCTCTATTTAACCACCTTGCTTTAATCTCATTTTCCCAGTGCAAATAAACATGACTGTTTTTCTACTGCTTTAAACAGAGCATAGCATACCTTTTGTTTTATAACTTGAGGAAGATTAGTCACAGATCCTGCCCAAGAAGCATATCTCTGTCTATTTCCAGCTGGATTGTCAAGGTCCAGTAAACTCAGGCCAGCCACTAAACCTGCATTTCCCCCTCTGATAAATGGGTCCCCTCTCAGCACATTGCTCCGAGTTCCTACAAAGGTGAAAAATCAGATGAAAAATGTCAGACGTACAAATACAATGAAAGTGAGAATATACAAGCAAAACGTCTATCTGGTATTAAAGTAGAACACATTTAATTACATGACATTCTGGAAAAGAAAAAACCGTAGGCAGTAAAATGGTCAGTGGTTCCCAGGGGTGGACAAAGAATAAATGAGTGGAGCAAAACAGATTTTTAAGGCAGTGAAATTGCTCTGGATGCACACATGGTGCAATAGATTTGTCAAAGCCAATCAATGTACAATACTCTAAGAGTGAACCTAGAATAAGCTATGCACTGTTTGCCACTCAATGCCTCTTTTGCAGACCACAACACCCAAAAGGAGAGAGAGAACACAGGGGATTGCCCTGCCACAGAGACAGGGGGTATGGGGGGATGGGGGTGGGAGGGATATTATCCATGGTGGTGGAAAATGGGCACTGGTGGAGGGATGGGTATCTGATCATTGTATAATTGAAACCAAAGCACAAAAAATTGTAAATCTACAACTTTAAAAAAAATAAAATAAAATAAAGGGAAAAAAAACAGAAAAAAAAAAAAAGAATAAGCTATGCACCCTGGGTGATAATCAGGGGTATGTCCATTGTAAGGAGGAAGAGACTTCTTCAAAATGCTCAAAACAGAGGCCAGGACACTAGTATAGAGAGTAGGGCATTTGCATCATAAGCAGCTGACCTGGGTTCAATCCCTGGCATTCCATATGGTCTCCCTGAGCACTGCCAGGATTAACTCATCAGTGAAAACCACGAGTTACCCCAGAGCATCTCTGGGTGTGTAAAAAAAAAAGTTCAAAACAGTTCTCCCAAGACATGTCACTTGGACTTGTGGATTGTTTCAAGCTAAGGCTAATTAGGACCTAAACTCTCACAAAAAAATTTTCTACCCCCTTAGCTACCCAGAAGAATAAAAACTGAGGATATTGCCTAGAATTCATATTTTTGTCAGAAATAACCTTTATCTATCTAGATGAGAACAAACAGCTGAGCAACTGTTCTTTGTTATACGGGTCACCTCTCTGTCTTCATCATGGGAGTCCCCTCCTTGCTCTTAAAGCCTCCTGTCTCTCTGTCATTGCTTATCTTAGGATCTACACCTTCATTTTGCCTCAATGCCTTTAGGACCTATATTCATGTAGGTTCTCCACATAGAATTAAATTTGTTTTTTTCCCCTACTTCACCTGTTTAAAGCTAATTTGATTGTTTCTCAGCTGGAGGAAAACCTAAAGTGTAAGGAAAAATTTCCTCTCTGCCACTACAATCACGAATGTTCTATCGTGGTATCGTTCACTTACAGTGAGGAATCGTGTGTCCACGTGAGAATGGCAGGTATGTGGGAACTCTGTAATTTTTGTTCAGTTGTGCTATGATATAAAACTTCTTTCAAAAATAATATGTAAAGTGGATGGACATGGAGAGTATCATACTAAGTGAAATGAGTCAGAAAGAGAGGGGCAAGCATAGAATGACTTCACTCATTTGTGGACTATAAAATAATTATAGGAGACTAACTCCTAAGGACAGTCAGAGACAAGGGCCAAGAGGATCACTCCATGGTTTGGAAGCCAGTCTCATGTACTGGGGGAAAAGGCAACTGGGATAGAGAAGGGAACACTAAGTAAATGATGTTTGGAGAGCTCGGTCGGGATGGTAGATGTATGCTAAAAATAGAATATGGACCAAACATGATGGCCGCTTAGTACCTGTATTGTAAACCATAATATGCAAAAGGAGAGAGAGAGAGCGTAAGAGGGAATGTGCCTACCACATTCCCTGCTTCAGGGGGTGGGAATGGATGGGGGTGGCGGGAGGGACACTGGGAACATTGGTGGTGGAGAACGGGCATTGGTGGAGGGATGAGTACTTGAATATTGTATGACTGAAACGGAATCATGAAAGTTTATAAGTCTGTAACTGTATCTCACAGTGATTCATTAAAATGAAATTTTAAAAATCATTTTAAAATATGTATTAAGAGGGAAAAGAAAGTAATCATAACCTGACAGCAAATGATATGAGATAATTATTTTTTTATATTCTTCAAGTAATAAAAGTACTATGGGTCCAGAGGATCGGTGTGGTGGCTAAGTGCAAGGTCCTGAGTTCAAATTCCCAGTCTTCTCATGCTGGGTGTGAGCCTAGACAAGGCTATTTGAGCCTGGAAACCCTGCTGCCTGTGGTTGTTTTGTGCTACAAGCGATTTTCAGCCAGACCTCAGCCAGGTGTGTGTGAAAGCACCACTACTGAAAAAAGACAGGTCATCACCACAAACAGGAAGTGGGAGCTCTGGAGAGCAGATGCTCAAGTACCACCATGAGCACCAAAACTGAAACTTGTGAGCTTCGACAAAGAGTGAACATCCGGGAGAGATCTATGCAAACCTCAGAGAGAACTGCAGTTGAGGGAGTAGCTGCAGCTACCTGATGTGTTACCCCCATGAACATCACAACTAAATATGTGTGTGCACCATTGCCAGGCCTGTGGGTGAGCCCTGGTCATCCCAATACAATAACAGCAGCATCACCAAAAACAAAGAAGGAAAGGGGAAGGGAAGGAAGCACAACATTTTTTTTTTATTTTCAATTTTATAAAAAGTCCCTGGGTCTTAACAACAAAGGGGAAGGGAGGGGGAGAAAGAATCTCTTCATTCTAAAGGTGTGGCATTGTACCCCTAAAACAAATATAGTCTAAATTACCTATATTAGTCAAATATAAGCTAAATTACCTCGATTTCATATAAAACAAATATAGTCTAAATTACCTATATTAGTCAAATATAAGCTAAATTACCTCGATTTCATTTAAATTTGGAAAATAGAGTGAAGGAGAAGGATCAAAAGACTGGCATGCACACTGTGCATGCAAGAACCGAGAATTCAATCCACGGTGTTACATGGTACCCCCAGCACCACCAGGCATGGCCCCCAAAAATAAATAATTATTTAAATAAAATTAAAAGTCTTTTCATGTTCAGCCAATTGAGCTTTAGGAATTCAAAAGAATCTTCATCTTCCTCTCGGTCATCGTCTCTCTAGCACATCTCTCTGTTGACTTCTCCTTTACCTTCCATACCTTCCATATTTCTAATCTTTTCCGGTTCCTGTTTCTCAGATTCTTTCTCAGTCCTTCCTCTATTTTCACTGCTTTGTTTGGACTCAATCATTTCCCCTCTCATCTTTCCCTGCATTAAATTCTTTATTAGTATGCTTCTGTCAACAGGAAGAAATTCCAATTCTTCAAGAAGGCGTCTCAGGCACAACCAAATCTCCTTTCCTTTCCGTTCCTCACACAAAGACTAGCTTGTCCCCTTTACCACCTTCTCTATCACCACCAAGGAATATGAATATGGAACACCTGTGTCACTGAGCAAAACTTGAACCTTTGCCTGAAGGTGTCCCTTTTCTAGCTTCTTCACTATGGACACAAAGAAAGGTAACATACAAGAAGGATTATTTTTTCAGTGCAGAGACAATACCACTCTGAACTTCCAAACCCACATATCTCTCTGCAATGACAAATGGAAGAGAAGTCCCAGGAAGAAATAAGCAATAAAAATAACAATAGAATGCCAATGCAGCCCTTGAACACTAGTAATGAATCACCAGGAAAGGGGACAGAGACTAAGCCTCCAAGCAGTCACTCTTATTCACCTGAAGCTTCTTTTAAGGCATCTTTCAGCCACTCGCAATTCTGTCTCTTTGATCCATAAAATAAAAAGCTGGACCGTGAAGAGGTACATTTCTGTTTATCTTCTGCACTCAGACCTGGGAAGAAATTTGAAACATGTTTAATTTCAGCTTTTGTTGAAAACCTGCTATGAGCAGCCAGGTGTGAGTGGGGAGAAGAGGTTTCCTGCTAATCAAGAACAATAAGATACATACATTTTTGAGTGCTCCCCCAGGATCAATGACTAGAGGAAAGGTTGCAGGACCTTTGTAATTAAACAAAGGAATAGACACATGCGTATAATTGAAGAGAGAAGCACCAAGGCTGGAAAATTTACATTTAGATCACTGAGCAAATGTTAGCTTCTGTTAGCTTTGATGTAAGAGAAGAGTCAGGACAATTTCTGCCTTAAACAGTGCAGCGGAGATATTTCATCCATCCATAGTCAGTTTCTCAGGCATAAAGCAAATATATAAAGATAGGTGTGCTACGAACTTCAGTCTGCCTAATGGAGACTTCAAAACCTGAGTTCTAGTGCTACAGTAAAGAATTTCTAAGAGCTTCAATTCTCCCTTTAAGGATGTTAACAGGGAAGACAGGTAGGGTGCGTGTGCTTGTCTAGGGGGCAGACTGATAGTAGGGCAGGTAGGGTGCTTGTCTTGCACACAGTCAAGCCAGGTTCTATCTCCGGCTTCCTATATTGTTCCCCGAGCACCTCCAAGAGTGATCCCTGAGTGCAAAGCCAGGAGGAAGTCCTGAGCACTCTCGGGTGTGCTTCCCCACCCACAAATACTTTATCGGTAGAATGTAGGACCAATGGAAACACAGAAATATGTTGTAGTTCCCCCCACAAGGTAAGACTACGAATTGTCCTCTGAATCTTAGCTGAGAAGACTTCCTCTTCTCTAAGGTTATATGCAAGAGAGCTTTGACAAAGAGAGGCACTCTGAGAGGTGATTTGGAATGGAGAGGTTGGTGGGTATCCTTATAGGACCAAGCTGAGAAGGAGGACACTTGACTTGAACCATCAGTGAACCTGGGCCCAGAGTCTCTGAGGAAGAGGCAAAGTAGTAAAACATTATTCTCTCCCTTCCTGCATCAGGGTCTACACTGGGATGTCCACAAAACATGAACTCAGAGGTGCGCCTCCATACTAGCAAAATCCTGCCACTCTAGAAGCAACAATCTAGAGATGTTGCTCTAGTCTCTAGGCTAGAGACGTAGGCTATGCTCATTTGGGAGCCAGGTAGACCTCCTTACAGTCTCCATGCACTTAGAGGAGCCTTGTATAGCACTGAGTCTCCACTGCACTGAAAGGAACCAGGTGGCCCTCTCCCTCGTTCCTCAACTCTAAAACTCACCTGTTCTCAAGAAGAAATTCAATGAATTTAAACTATTCTTTCATACAATTACTGGTAACAAGAAAGTGACTGATATCAAGAGCAGATGTTTTTCAGCAAGAGAGTAGTAAAGAACAGAGGTGACTAAAATGGTTCTCTATTGTATTCTTCACTTCTTTAATAGAAGTAAATTCCTCATATGCTTTTCTTGAGCAATATTATTTAATCTGAGAAACAGAAAACATTTTAAAGAGCAGAGGTGAATAAAGTACTTCTTTATTCTTATTTGCTTAATACAAGTAAATTCCTCATCTGCTTTCCTAGAGGAATATTATTTAATAGAAAAACTTTTTAAAGTATCCTAAAATTCTAAATGAGCCACATTTTAGAAATAGCCAATAATGATAATGGCTAATTCACGTTTTAATTTACTTCCAAAAGAGTAAGTAAAAGTAAAGGCCCTCCCGTTGATCATCAATTTGCTCGAGCGGGCCCAGTAACGTCTCCATTGGAGACTTTGTTGTTACTGTGTCTGGCATATCGACTACTCTCGGTAGCTTGCCGGGCTCTCCGAGAGGGGCGGAGGAATCGAACTCGGGTCGGCCATGTTGGCTGCGTGCAAGGCAGACGCCCTACCCGCTGTGCTATCGCTCCGGTCTCTTAAAACTTGAAAGATTTTAATTAGTCTAATGGAGTTCTGCCATTTTTTACTCCTTTGCTATTTAATCTCTATTTGCCATATTTTGTCCTTAAGTTTTTATTAGTGAAACACCATGGGGTACAGTTGTAGACTTACAAATTTTTGTGCTTAGATTTCAATTATACAATGATCAAATGCCCATCTCTCCACCAGTGCCCATTCTCCACCACCACCAGTCCCAGTATCCTTCCCACCCCCCATCCCCCCATTCCACCCTACCTCTGTGGCAGGGTATTCCCTTTTGTTCTCTCTCCTTTTGAGTGTTGTGGTTTGCAAAAGAGACATTGAGTGGCAATCTTGTTCGGTCTATAGTCTACTCTCATCACGCATTTTGCATCCTGAGAGGAACCTCCCAACACCCTTTATTTGGTGCTCCCTTCTCTATCTGAGCTCCCTTTTCCCCTAGCGTGTGCAGCTGTCCTCAAAGCCATGGAGTAATCCTCCTGGTACTTATCTCAGCTATTCTTGGGTGTAGTCTCCTATTTTGTTACTTTTTGTTCCCCAGATGAATGCAATCTTTCTATGTCTGTCCCTTTCTTTCATTTCTTTCATTTCGCTTAGCATGATACTTTCCATTAGTACATTTGTATCTGAATTTCATGACTTCATCTTTTCTCGTTCGTTATCGGAATTAACCAGACAAATTGCTCCACCAACTAAGAACGGCCATGCACCACCACCCACGGAATCGAGAAAGAGCTATCAATCTCTCAATCCTGTCCGTGTCCGGGCCAGGTGAGGTTTCCCGTGTTGAGTCCGTGTGGGCTGGAGTGATAGCACAGCGGGTAGGGCGTTTGCCTTGCACGCGGCCAACATGGCCAACCCGAGTTCGATTCCTCCGCCCCTCTCGGAGAGCCCAGCAAGCTACCGAGAGTATTCGATATGCCAGACACAGTAACAACAAAGTCTCCAATGGAGATGTTATTGGGCCCGCTAGAGCAAATCGATGATCAACGGGAGGGCCTTTACCTTTTACCTTTACCATCTTTTCTAACAGCTGCATAGTACTCCATTGTGTAGATGTACCAAAGTTTCTTTAACCAGTCATCTGTTCTCGGGCACTCAGGTTTTTTCCAGATTCTGGCTATTGTAAAGAGTGCTGCAATGAAGAAAACAACCAACCCCATCAAAAAATGAGGCAACGAAATGAACAGAAACTTCCTCAAAGAAGAAATCCGAATGGCTAAAAGGCATATGAGAAAATGCTCTACATCATTAATCATCAGGGAGATGCAGATCAAAACAACAATGAGATATAATTTTACACCACAGAGACTGGCCCACATCCAAAAGACCAAAAGCAACCAGTGTTGGCGCAGATGTGGCGAGAAAGGGACTCTCCTTCACTGCTGGTGGGAATGCAGACTGGTTCAGCCCTTTTGGAAAACAGCATGGACGATCCTCAAAAAATTAGAAATTGAGCTCCCATTTGACCCAGCTATACCACTCCTGGGAATATATCCCAGAAAGGCAAAAAAGTATAGTCGAAGTGACATCTGCACTTGTTTGTTCATTGCAGCACTCAATTTGCCATATTTTAAAGTTCAGTGGTTTAACAAGACATTATTTCCCCCATTGAAATCCCTGTATTGTTTCATATAACAATTATTTAGTACTCTACCATGTTCTTTGAATTTTTCTGAGTCCATATAAAATAGAACTTGGTATTCTCCTCCTAAGGACCCAGACTGCAGATAATGTGTCCCATACTGGTCAATCAGTCTTCGGTAGGCACTGTAGTCATACAGAGAGGGAAGGTAGGAGAGTTCCTTCCAGAATGATTCTGAAAGTTGCAAAAATTCTGGATTGTTATTGATAAACTGAGCCACTTCAACAGTGTTCTGAACAACCATCAGTTGGTAACTCTGTGGAAAGAAGAGATATAAAAGCAATGGTAATAGTCCTCTGCTCAATGTCACCATCAGAGAACACCTCCAATTAATCCAGACTATAGAAATTTTTATTTTTGATGCATACAGAAGTGTCTTTTGGATCCATCCCACTGAAGCAATTCAGAAATGTTTGAATCCTAAAAAGGAATCATTTCTGAGTTATTACATGGTAATTCCATTTACAGATGATCTTTAAATCCCCAAGACCATGTGTTACTATGTGTTCCTCAACTACAAAAAAGGACTCAAATATACATTATAAAATTAGGACAATTTTAACTGGAATATTTTAATGTAATGTTTGTTTTTAAATGTCTTCAAATAAGAATTATTTAATAAAAAATAAAAAGTACAAATAAATATATTTTTAAAAAGAATTGTCTTCTAAAGGTCATACTCGGCATGCTCAGGTATTACTTCTGGCTCTGGACTCAGGAATCATTGCTGGAAGGGTTCTAGGGACCATACAGAGTACTGGGGATCAAACCCCAGATTGGCTGCATGCAAAGAAAGTTCTCTTTGAAAGAGGAACTATTCTGCTTTTTTTTAAAATGAAAGCTGATCGTTTTGATTAATGTTAGAAATAAATCATGGGTAGCTTGCCAGAAATAAATCAGTGAAATAAAGAAAAGTTTACTAATATTTTTACTAACCTTTTGCCTATGAGCTTCAAATCTTCCTGAAAAATATCTAGATGAAGAAGATTTTGAAGATCCAAAGAAGGACTTTTTACTCTGAGATGACGTCTGATGTATTGATGTTTCTTTTACATAAGACCAAGTACTGTTGTAAAATTCATAATTAAAATCATTATTTATTTTCACCTATAAAGAAAATGAAGAATTTTGCTATGACTAAATTAAGAGTTTGGATATAACTGAGAATCTAATCATGGTTTCATTAATACAAAAACTGATTATATCTTTATGTAATTTTTTCCAAAAGACAAAGTGTTTCCTTCACAGAAAACAACTGGGACTTATTAAAACCAGGCTTGTCTGAGTACAAGAAATATAGTTCATTCTCCAACTAGCTTTTGTTTAGAAGAAATATAATATCAATAATGGTAATGCCAACTAAGTCACAAGATGTGGGTACAAAAATTGTCCTTTTTATTGTGACTGAAATCTCCAGTCTATCACAAAGTGGAATGGGTTATCTGTCCCCATCTCCCTGTACTTCCAGAAGTCTCTGCAGTCACATTCATGAAGTACTTTCAGCACCATTTAAACTCATTTACTGCTTATAATCCAGAGACTCATAAATAAATCTCAAAAGAGATCAACACGTTCCAGAGATTCTCTAAGACACTGTGCAAGGCTAAGTCACCCAAAGCCACCATCAAATTAAAAATCTAACTCCAGTTGTATCAATTTGTTAAAAATTCTGGACTTCCTGGAGAGTGAATTCTCTCTACAACACTGATAAACCAGATTCATAGCACACCAGATTGGATGGGATGTAACATAAAAAGGAACCAATCTCAATTAACAAAATAAAAAGACAGGGGATATGGTGCTGCCAGCAGGTAAACCCGTACCTGTGGGGCGAATGTATCAGCAGTCTGATGGTGCCTTCAAACTTCCAGATACCCCAAAATTGCTGCTGTGCCTTTGACAATACCTCAACAACTGGGGCCAAGTTTACCAAGAAATTAAATGGCCAAAAGTTAGGTATGTGGGAGACACACCCACAAACCACATCCGGCTCAGATATATAAGCCCATTTATTGGCCTTATTTCAGAGACCCATAAATCTCGAAAGAGATCAAAAGACTCAGTTAGGGCCTGTAGTGCAGAAGTATACAGGCACCCATGACTAAGAGCTTCAGGCCGCTTGGATCAGGACTGGGCCTCCTCCCCACAGGTCCCTGGTTTTCCGGTAGCTTGGCAGTCACACCCACAAACTGTCCCCAGTGCCATGTACTCTCAACAGCCAAGATACAGGGACTATAAACTAAAACTACCAAAAGAGAGTGCCACAAAATGTCCTGACTCTGTGCCAGGCTGTTTTCACCAGGGCGCCCCAGAGAGGGGCACGTGAGAGCCCTCCCTGCCCAAAGGAACCCAGCTCTGGCAACCAAAAACCTCCACAACCCAATCGCCACCACGCTCAAGGCCGCTCCCCACGCACTCAGGCTGAGCCTCATGCACAAGTTCTTACTTTGGAGAACCTGGCAGGCTGCCTAGGTAATTTGGAACTTTGTGATCTTGGACTCTGAGCTCAACGGAATGGGGAGCGGAGATCCTCTGCCTGCTTTCCCTAGTCTCCGGTGACCCAGGGGTCATGCCCAAAGCCACCTCCTACCAGTGCCAGATAATCTCACTATCAGCCACCGTCCAGATCACATGGCTGCTTCTCCCAAAAGGGAACAGAACATGAGGTCCATAACCATGTCACCGGACTCCGTGCCAGGCTGTTTCACATGGGGTGCCCCAGAGCGGGGTGGGTGAGAACCCTTCCCGCCCCATGGGACCCAGTTCCAGCAGACAAAATCCTCCACAACCCAACAGCCACCACGCTCAAGGCTGCTCCCACGTGCTCGGGCCAAACTTCATGTATGAGTAAACGTATTCCTGGAACAAAAGCGGCCCCCCAACACATAATAAAACACTCCTACCCATTCTCCATAATTACCACAGCACAATTGATGGAGTTCATATAGTAGGCAACAAATCACAGAGGGAAATATATATAGAATATCCATATACACATTTTTTCAGTTATATATACCAAAGTTCACATCACCCAAATTTTAACAACATGTTAGTATCCTTAGTGGCTTAGAATGTCTTAATGGCTTCTGCCAAAAAAGAACAATTTTCACAGTTTCCTATATGAACACTTTTATGTAAGCTCGATTTTTTGCTCGAGCGGGCCCAGTAATGTCTCCATTGGAGACTTTGTTGTTACTGTGTTTGGCATATCGAATACGTCACGGGGAGCTTGCCAGGCTCTGCCTAGTGGGAGAGATACTCTCGGTAGCTTGCCGGGCTCTCCGAGAGGAGCGGAGGAATCGAACTTGGGTCGGCCATGTTGGCTGCGTGCAAGGCAAACGCCCTACCGCTGTGCTATCGCTCCAGCCCTTTTATGTAAGCATGTTCAGGAATTCTTCATAACAGACAATACGAAATATATTATTTCAGTTGTTTTTTGGGACAGGGATTGGGGTTTGGGATGGAAAAAACCTGAATTTGGTGGTGGGAAAGTGTTATGGTGGTGGGATTGATGTTTGAATATTGAGTGTAATAAAACATTGTGAACTAACTTAGAAAATTAAAAAAAATTAAAAAGGGGGAAAAATAATGTGGAGTTCATGCCCAATTCAATCAGCTTATCAAATGCTGAATAAATAACAGTGCTCCTACATTATAAAAAGAAAAAAGAAAGAAAAAAATGTATGTATAAAGACAGAAGGCTTAACCTGTAACAACATCTTAGTTATTTCTTATATATGAACTTAGTATCTTCAAGGTGAGAAACACTTCACTAATTTTCTGCTAAGGAAATATTTTTTAATCATTCTCTTAGCAAATTATTGATAACAAGCAATATTAAATAAATTATTGAGGACCTGGCGGAGTCTCCTGCCCCCATGCCTGGCTGTCCTCACAAAGGTCCCTTGGAGGGGGGCGGGTTGAGTTTCCCTCCCACCCCCACCCCGAGTAGTGCCCCAGCAGCCAAAGACTCCAGAACCAGCCACAGCCATGCTGAGACCACTCTCCACACGTCTGGACAAGCCTCATGCATGAAGGAACCAGCAGAGGAACCCAGGCATGCGGGTCCCAGGGCTGAGATCTCCAAGCTTGCTCAGATCGGGATTGGGCCTTCTCCACCCAGATCCCCCATCTTCCTGTAGGCTGGCGTCACATCCACCAGCTGCTGCCAGTGCCAGGTTGGTCCCATCAATGGCCAAGACCCAGAGACTATAAAACCTAGCTCACTGAAGCGTGCAGCCGCACTTACAGCCACAGGACATCTTTCTATCTCGTTCTTACTTTGGAGAACCTGGCAGGCTGCCGAAAGTATCCTGCCCGCACAGCAGAGTCTGACAAACTTCCCGTGTCATACTCAATATGCCAAATACCAGTAACAATGATGGGTCTCATTCTCCTAACCCTGAAAGAGCATTGAATATGGCTCTATTAAAATCTCAGGGCTAGGAAGAAGGAGACATTATTGGTGCCTGCTTGAGGCAATCGATTAAGGGGTGGTTGGGAAAATTGGAGACAATGGTAGTGGGAAGATGTAATGGTGGTGTTGGAACATTGAATGTCTGCAACAAATCATCAAGAACAACTTTGTAAATCATAATGTATATATTAAATGTACAGGGAAAATTGAAATATAAATTAATTAATTTAAAAAAGAGAGAAAGAGAGATATTTCCTGGGTAACATGTGTCTTGCATGTGTCTGATACCGGTTCCATCCCCAGGACCACATATGAGCCCCTGAGCACCACCAGGAGTGAGCCCTGAGCCCAGAACCAGGTGTGGTCCAAAAACAAACAAACAAAAATAAGTCAAAACCTATAATTTTATTCAAAATCTGTTTTTATATTACTATGCTTACATACTCTGGTTATGTTACATAGATCTGCTAGAGTCAAGAATGTAAAGACAGTATTCTTGAAAATTATTTTTTAATCTCTTATTAATCCATGAGTTCTGCAAAGGCAGGCATTGTGTTCATTATAGCTTTTTCACTTCTGTATTTTCCATGCCTGGTATACTGTTGTTTGGAGGTGGAGGGGAGAAGGGGGAAGCACTGATGCTAAAAACTGGATGAATGATTGAATAAATAAAGTCTGTCTTCCCACATTTAAATAAATACTGTAATCTTATTTACACTTACTTGTAGAGTATCTTGACAGAAAGGGATAAACTGTATAATTAGCATTGCTATTAATTTTAATGCTGCCTTTCAGGATAAAATATTAAATTTCTGATAATTTTTTTAAAAATGAATAAACATATTCCTTTTTATGGGTTAGAGCGATAGCACAGAAGTAGGGTGTTTGCCTTGCACTCAGCCAGCCCAGCCGAGTTTGATTCCTCCACCCCTCTCAGAGATCTCGGCAAGCTACTGAGAGTATCTCACCCGCGGGGCAAAGCCTGGCAAGCTACCCATGACATATTCAATATGCCAAACATAGTAACAACAAGTCTCAAAATGGAGCCGTTACTGGGCCCGCTTGAGCAACTCGATGAACAACGGGAGGACAGTGCTACAGTGCTACATTCCTTTTTTTTATTAAACATTTCCTGGGACTGGAGAGATAGCACAGTGGGTAGGGCATTTGCCTTGCACACGGCCAACCCGGGTTCGATTCCCAGCTTCTCATATGGTGCCCTGAGCACCGCCAGGAGTAACTCCTGAGTGCAGAGGCAGGAGTAATCCCTGTGCATCACCGGGTGTGACCCAAAAAGCAAAATAAATAAATAAATAAATAAATTCAACTTTTCCTTCTCTTCCTTATACTTTGGGACCAAGGTTGATTTAGGCATCCTCTTAAACCATTAGATTTTCCCCTCTAGTTACTTGAAACACCACATATAAGTGATATCATCCTCTGTTAATCTTTCTTCTTCTTCACTCTTTCATTTAACAGGAGGCAGGTGAGAAGTAACAGGAGCAGGAGCAAGGTACATCATTGGTGTTAAGAAATGATAGAGTTAAATATCCAAACCAAGAGTCAACAAAACTGAAATCCTGAGACCCAAACTTTAACAACCAAATTCATTTTTTTAATTAAATCATCATGAAATACAGTCACAAAGTTGCTCATGATTGGTTTTCAGTCATACAATGTTCCAACACCC